AGTGGGTGTGAACGAGTGGGTGTGTGCGAGTGTGTGTGTGTGTGTGTACGAGTTGGGGTGTGCGAGTGTGTGTGTATGAGTGAGTGTGTTTGCGTGTGTGTGTGAGTGTTTGTGTGAATGGGAGTGTGTGAGTGGATGTGTTAGTGAGTGTGTTTGCCTGTGTGTGAGTGTGTGAGTGTGTGTATGTGTGTCTATATGTGTGAGTGAGTGCGCTATATTTAAAAGAGAAAATTTGACATCTCGTGTGAGTTTTCATTCCTTCATCACACAAAACTGGTAACTAGAATATTACACTATTTGTGTTCAGGAAGTTTTAAAACAACATTTGAGTTTATATCTGCCAGTGACTTCGGCCCATTAAAGTATATTTTACGTTCCCTACCGTTAGGTACCCATTAGTAGAGTTGGGGGCATCATACAAGCGCGAGTCCGTGCTCCAAACACAAAACTTCGGGATATAAGTTTTGTATCGTGTAAAGAAAGACAACACTTTTTATTTAAATAAAAGATTTAATCTAACTTTGTCATGGAAACGGAATTAGCATTTTAAATTTAATTAATGACTTAATAAAAATAAATTACTAAAACAGGTTATATAATAATTAATATAATAATTTAAAATTAAACGCGATTTGTATTTTGATATTAATGATTGAATTAATTAAGTAACAAACAAATACTTTGATTATTAGTTTTATTAAACGATGTTAAAATAAAAAATGATTGACTACCATACTTTAATGATAATATATGCTTGGATCCAAAAAAGTCTTTAAATGGGATTTGTGTTTAAGTTTAATAAATGTTATTTTCGATAAAAAATTACTTTAATCTCTGCAATAAAAATAAATAAAATTATTTGACATGAAGAGTTTTCTCAGTTTGTGACACATCGATTAAATATTCATTATGTAAATATTTATTTTTAATCATTAATAAACTCTATAAAATGTTTCAATGTGATAAATACCTACCTTACGCTATTTAATTCTAATAAATGATAGTTTAATTACAAATTTTATATATATATATAAATGTATATATATATATATATATATATATATATATATATATATATATATATATATATATATATATATATATATATACATTTATATATATATATATATATATATATATATATATATATATATATATATATATATATATATATATATATATATATATATATATATATATACTTTTATTAATTATTGCGAAGCAATTTTCAGTTTTAAATTAAATAACTTTTTTTTACGTTTTCCTTCAACTTTGGAAATTAAAACGACGAACAAAGTAGGCCGTCTAAATATTAACCATTCTTTAAAGTTCTCTCCAATTTATGAATGGCATTTTTTTTCCCTTTATGGGCCACATCTCTATTGCTTCAAGTTATTTTTATTAAGTTTCATTTGTATCAACACATTTGATAAAGGAAACATAAGAGAAACAAAATAAAAGATCAATTCGATCAGATACTTCACTTAAGATTTTATAAAAACATCTGTCGTGCAAACATAAAATAGAGTAGTTCATTGATAGCTCGATCAATGGGATTTCGTCTTGTTGATAAAAATGTTTAAAAACAAATATTAGGCTTATACCAATTATCATATTTAAAGAACGTTGGAATACACAATTTAAAAAATAGATTAATTAATATTAAGCCTAACGATATCAATAATGTTTGAGAATAAATCCTGACATTTTGCACGTACAATTAAGCTAAAAGTGATTATATTTTAATCACACTAAAAATGATAACAAAAAAACGAATACAGTATAATTAACGCTGCAGGGGGGGGGGGGGGGGGGGCTGGTAAATAAAGCAATTCATGAACAGAAAAATAAAAAAAAACAAAAACACTATAATTAGTGATTAAAATAAAAGAAAAATACATTTTTTGTTGACTAGGTGCGTTTTAACTACCTTCTACTAACCTAGCGTAATTTATTTGTTCATTCTCCTCAACACATGAGACAAAAGATCTAACACATTTTAAGACGTTTCACGTTGTAAGTAAAAAATCAATAAGTCTCAAGAAGTCTAGTCTACATTTTGGACTAGGATAAAGCGAAAATTGCGTGGGCGATTGTTACAGAGTTGGATTATACGAGGCGATAAAATGTTGTATGATGTTGTAATAACATCCCTGTGGTCATATGCATGACGTAGATCTTCCGTCCTAGTACGTAAAAGGGAATACACGGGTCACTAAACCTTTTCTTGCACAGATACACACAGATCAATTATATATCGATATATATATATATATATATATATATATATATATATATATATATATATATATATATATATATATATATATAAATATATATATATATATATAGGCCTACCTATATATATATATATATATATATATATATATATATATATATATATATATATATATATATATATATATATATATATATATATATATATATATATATATATATATTTATATATTTATATATATATATATAATAATATATAAATAATAATATGTGTATATGTGTATATATATGTATATATATATATATATATATATATATATATATATATATATATATATATATATATATATATATATATATATATATATACTGAATGGCCATTATTTATACAGCATAGTGCAAACTCAGTTGATTTAAATAATTGTGTAAGCACAGCATTTTTAGTTTGAAATTAATTCAATTCATAAATGGTTATTGCTTTTTATTTTATTTTAAACAACTGTCTACTCTTTTCTTTTGATGTATGAATGTATTATTTTTATATCTTCCACGCTTTGTTTCCAAAATGTGAACAGGGGCAGAACTACAAAGCCGCCAGACCACGCAGACACTAGTCAGCAGATTTTGATTTACTTGCAAAGTATTTGATTAATTCACAAAACAAAGAAGGTCTGGTTATTTTTTATATAATTTAGAAAAGGTTACTCAGTAGTAAATGAATCAAGTGAACATTGCTTATAATCAATTACAATTAATAAATGACATCATATAGCGGTGAATTTCTATCGTTTTGTAAGTCGTTTAAAAAGCATGACGTTATTTTTGAATGACCCCCCAATCAGGAGGTGAATTTTTAAAAATAAATTTCACAATCAGAAACGTATGTTTGAAATCAACTTTATTTGAATCCAACGATCAAATATAAGTAATTGCATGTAAACAAGTGTACATAATTTTACCAAAAGTTACTTCCCTTATAAAAATCAATATTACATAAGAAGAAATCTCAGCAGTACTAAAAAAACTTAAAATAATACAGGCCTACATAACTAACTCTCTTCTTAGTATTTTAAAGTAGATATTATTATGTTTCTGTTTTTAAAAAGAGTAGTTAAAAGCAGTTTTACAAAACATGAAAACATTTTTAAAGAGCCTATTGTAATAATAGCATGGGTGATTATTCAACTAGATTTTTAAACTATTTAACAAGAAAATGACAAAAAACATTTATTACCTTTCTATGATATTGATGGCTCCTGATTAGCACTAATATATATATATATATATATAAAGAAATTTTTTAAAATAATTAATGCGGTCCCAAAAATATAACATAATTAGTAAAACTATGATCAGTAAAACTATTCCAGTGTATTGAATAACAAAAAGTTAAAAACGAAATGCGTTACATTTAAGAAAGAATGTTTATATCAATTTATGTCAATTTTTTAAATATATTTTAAAAATTTAAAAAGTGCATAAAAGTAGAAGACCCAAAAACATTAGAAATTTACATGCAAAATTTTGTCTTTTAGCTATGTGAACTAAGATGTTTGAGGTTTTCAGTCTTCTGGAAGACAAAGACAAATTGTAGACAACGACAAAGACAATTGTAGGTTGTTCGCTTTAGAGTTTCATATTTTACTTGCAGATTTTAACCTGTAAAAATAGAGGAAAAATTAAAATTTATTCTTAATTAAAATTTTGAAGTGACAATTTGTAGCTGCAGAAAGAGACGCGGCGAAACGGTTTAATAGATATTGATAAAATTAAAGTTTAGTAAAACAGGAACATTACTTACAATTTGCACGCCATATAGTGTACGATATCCAATTTTGGGACCTGAAGGCAATTGTATGTCGTTTTTACTGTCGTACGAGTGGTAACAGTTGTTGTTCTGGTTGTTGGCGTAGTAGAAGTAGGAGTTGGGGTTGTAGTAGTTGTAGCTGTTGGTGTTGGTGTTGTGGTTTTTGGGGTTGTAGTTGTGGCTTTTGGGGTTGTAGTTGTAGTTGTTGGTGTTGTAGTAGTTGTAGTTGGTGTTGTAGTTGTGGTTGTTGGGGTTTCAGTAGTTGTAATTGGGGATGTGGTAGTTGTAGTAATTGGGGTTGTAATTGTGGTTGTTGGGGTTGTAGTAGTTGGGGTTGTAGTAGTTGGGGTTGTAGTAGTTGTAGTTAGTGTTGTAGTTGATGGTGTAGTTGTGGTTGTTGGTGTTGTAGTTGTGGTTGTGGTTGTTGGGGTTGTCGTGGTTGTTGGGGTATCAGTAATTGTAGTTGGGGATGTGGTAGTTGTAGTAGTTGGGGTGGTAGTTGTGGTTGTTGGGGTTGTGGTTGTGATTGTTGGGGTATCAGTTGTTGTAGTTGGGGATGTGGTATTTGTAGTAGTTGGGGTTGTAGTTGTGGTTGTTGAGGTTGTGGTTGTGGTTGTTGGGGTATTAGTTGTTGTAGTTGGGGATGTGGTATTTGTAGTAGTTGGGGTTGTAGTTGTGGTTGTTGGTGTTGTTGTTGTGGTTGTGCGGGTTGTAGGTCTGGTTGTTGGGGTATCAGTACTTGTAGTTGGGGATGTGGTAGTTGTAGCAGTTGTGGTTGTGGTTGTTGTGGTTGTTGGAGTATCAGTTGTTGTTGTTGGAGATGTGGTAGTTGTAGTAGTTGGGGTTGTAGTTGTGGTTGTTGGGGTTGTGATTTTGGTTGTTGGGGTTGTAGTAGTTGTAGTAGTTGGGGTTGTAGTTGTGGTTGTTGAGATTGGGGTTGTTATGGTTGTAGTACTTGTAGTTGTTGTGGTTCTAGTTGTGGTTGTTGGAGTTGTGGTTGTTGGTGTTGTAGATTTGGTTGTGCGGATTGTAGTTGTGGTTGTTGGGGCTGTAGTAGTTGTAGTAGTTTGGGATGTAGTTGCGGTTGCTGTAGTTGTGGTTGTTGGAGTTTTAGATGTGGTTGTGCGGGTTGTAGTTGTGGTTGTTGGTGTTGTAGATGTGGTTGCGCGGGTTGTAGTTGTGGTTGTTGGCATAGTAGTAATTATCCTTCTGGTTGTTGGTGGTGCTGTAACTGTAGTTCTTATTGACATCAGAGCAACAACTAGAGCGAGCACAGTTGTGATATCCATGCCTGAGTAAATAGTTGAATTATTACATTAATGTCTTGCGATCGCTTAATGCCAGAAACATAAATCGTTAGTTTGTTTTCTTACGTGCATTTAATAATTTTTTTTGGATCTCATTTCTTTCTTAGATTCACTTGAGGGAATAATAACGTTTTATTTGAAGCTGTTTTCTACTAGCTAAGGCACTGCGCGTGTGAAAAATTAAAAACATACTAGTGAAACAGTGCTTAGAAATATAAAAAATCAGAAAATGGGGAAAAAATCCCTTTAGGTTTAAACAGAAGTTTAGTCTAAATGATAATCAATAAAACAATCAATAGCAAAATGATTACAATTACAATTCTGTCAGCAACGTGTGTTTGTTTTGTATTTTATATCTAACTTTCTTTGATATACCTATAACAAACGTTACTTGAAAACGGTAGAAATATCTCTGAAGTAGCACCGCCAAAACGTTGATTTATTCTTATATAACACTTTATGTTAGGATGTCGCTTCCAGTAGAGTCGGACTGTAGAAAAGGTTGATGAGTTTGAGACAGAAATCGATCTTTTTCGAGAGAATACATACATGCAAAAAACTAACAATCTTTTTTTTAATGATGTCATGAAAGAAAAACTATTCAACGTAAGGATAGATACATGTACATATATGTATCTATTATATATACATATATATATATATATATATATATATATAAATATATATATATATATATATATATATATATATATATATATATATATATATATATATATATATATATATATATATATATATATATATATTCTCTATAAATATATCTATATACATCTTCATCATACTTTAACTACTCAGAATATCAGCTACAAAAAAACAATGATAACTAGTAACTAAATGAATAAAAATACTTCTTCCTGTCCTACGGAATACTTGTCAACCAGTCAAGGATCGCGACAATGGAGTGGAAATGTTTACCTCTATCCTGCTCAACCCAAGTAGAGGAGTGTATAACGATGGATTACTTTTATTTAGACATTTTATGACGGGTAGGATAAAAAAAAAATCAATCAATAGGACAATTTGAATAGATAGCGGATGGGGTCCCCTAAAACAACTCAAGACTAATTGAGGCTGACTAACAGTTAGACTGCATTACAATACACGTAGTTTTTGATGCAGTTAACGAAAAAAAAATCAATTAAATTGATAAACAACAACAATTTATATATATATACATATATATGTATATATATATATATATATATATATATATATATATATATATATATATATATATATTTATATATATATATATATATATATATATATATATATATATATATATATAATTTTTTTCTTTCAATTAAATGGGACTGTTAGGTGAGGTTGTTGAGTGTAAAATTGGTCCCAATTTTAATCACGGGTTCGAGTCTGTACGACACTCATGTGCCCACCTATAGCTATGATGAGTAGGCCTAGTTGACTTTCGTTAGAGAATATATAGGCGGTGGGCCACACTATCCCTTCCTATGTTTATGTCACAGACGCTGGCGAACTCTACTTCAACTGCCCCGTGACTGACTTGTACATCATGCAGTGAGATGGTTTGGGCTCAACAGAATTTAAACAAGAAGTTGGCTTACTAAGCCAAACCTGAAGATTGTTTGAACATCATTACTGATGGACAGATACTGTTGAGATGTTAGCTTTTCATTCATTTCACTTTATGTTATGCATCAATTTTGTATATTTTTTTTATTTGAGTATTAGAGTAATTACTGCTAATTACTAATCATAGATGCTGTAATTCTCGCGTTTCAACATCGCTTGTATTGACAATTTGTAGCCTTATAAAAAATTACAGTTTTGAAAATTTAAAATGGGTGATTTTTTTATTTTGATTTTATAAATGATTTTGTAATTTAAAATAAGTCTGTAAAAGTAAAAAAAAAATGTTTGTGCCACAAGTTTCAACAATAAAAAACGACTGTTAGAAATTTACTTTTTAATGTTTTCTTAGCTTGATATCGATTATATTGTGTTCAGGATGTAGCCTGGATATCCACTACAGCGTGACGTTTTAACTACTGGTTGATAGATAAAGCGATGTTAAGCTCAAGACCATTTGTATCACGTGGCTAGTGGATGACAAATGACTTCACAAATGATAACGTTACGATGCTATTGTTTATTATAGTAGAGAAAAAAAAGTAAAGAAAAAACAACCTTGTTAAAAATAATGCTTATAATTTAAAGGTTTACTTGTGGTTTTAGTCTGGGTAACTGTCTCTACCGACGAGGATTGTTAGTGGACTATGTATTAATATGTAGCGATAAAAATGGAGTTATATTTCACATCTACACAGCTTTACAGCGACACAATTACAAGGACAACGAATGTATAGACACTAAGAGGATATACGTATACTAGCACACACATCTATATCTATCAATATATATATATATATATATGATTCAGAGACATCGGTTCATGAGGTAATAGTGTATACAGATATTCTTGGTTTACTAAAACTGTATCTAAGAAAGTTTTTATGTATTCTATAATAATCGATTTAATAATCATGAGATATTTTGTCCTGAGATAATTTGTTATGGCAGTAAAGTAAAGTTTTCCTTTCAAACCTGACGGTCAAGTGAAGTAGAGTTCACTTGTTTCTGTGACCACGGCATATGAAGAGATAGTGTGGTCAGCACTATGCCCAGCCGCCTTTACTATCCCTAGCATGAGTTAGGTACCCATCAGAGTTGGGTGGACTGAGGGACGGTCTACTGACTTTAACCCCGATTCGAACTCGAGACTTGGAAGTGAATAAGGCATAAAGTTTACAATAAGTTTGGGGGCCACATAGATATTTTGTAATCATAATTAAAACAGTTTTGAAACGTAAAACTGATGCAGATATTTGTATGAAAGATGGTCTATAATTGAGTCATTTTACAGCTTCACCTGACCTATTCATTTACCTGGGGAGGAAAGGGCTGCAGTCACACCTCTCCATCCGGCTCGATTCTGAGCATCGCTCTTTATTTGTTTACCCCTTGCCTCATCATCTGTCCTTTTTTGACCGGCCTACTTTCCTCTTCCCTTGGGTATTCCAATCTAATTATTTTCTTGTGAAATTATCAAATACAATGAGTGATGATGTTTTTGTTTAAATAATCTGTAATATCTGGTTCAATGTGGTTCGACCAATAATTCTAATCAATAAAGAGGACATGCACCATCTTAACGGCGAGAAGGTCAACAGACTGGACTTGAATGTCCGTCAACAATGTCACATGACTTAGACTCCGTCCTAGTTTAGCAGTCAGAGGCTTTAGACTCGTTCAATGTAATAATGGATTTTAGACCCGGCGTGTATTGGGACCTGCTAGACCCAGACTGTACAGTTAACCCACAGCATCAGTTGAAGGGAAGATGGGTGGAGACATCACGGCGATTCCAACTGACCATATATAAAAACACTTACTTAACCAACATTGAAATCAGCTTATGGTTTTGATGGCTTCGATTTTAGGTCAAGATTGCAAAATTGTCAACGGATTTGTTTTCTTTGTCCTTGTGTTGAGTTTAATAAAACAAAAAAATCTGATAAGCATAGTAAATTAACAAAGATAAGATGCAGCAAGCTTTTGCAGAATCAATAAAGTGTGTCAATGTAATTCGTTCCTAGTTAATAGAGCTATTTGTTTTAGAGGAAGAAAAATAATAAATATATTTAAAAACAAAAATAAAGCAAGAGTTATCTCCCCTAAACTTTCTCTTATATTACATTTTTCCCACGTTTTCTTTAACTTGCTTTCGCGTCTGTTTGTTTGTTTGTTTGTCTTTCCATCAAATCTAGCGATCGAAATTTCGGGGAGTTCCTAGTTAGCTAGCGCGCTGAAATTTTCAGGGAAGCTTTGTTTCCGATGACAATATAATATTCAATTATTATTATTACTAAATTGATCCATGGAAAAATTTTATTGATCATTTTAGACTCCTACTGATTTGTACAAAAAAGGGACATAACCTAGTAATTGTAATTTGATAAAAACAAGGTTCGGTACTTTCCCTCTTCTGGCTTACTGAAAAACAAATGAAAAATTATGAAGGAGCGAGCACGCGATTGGCTGAGTAGTGGTCGCGCGGTGTTTGTGTACAAAACTATGCAAATCTGACTGATCCGGAACTAGAATGTTGATGGTCGAATGGTTTGCACGCGAGGGCAAAATGGTGAAAGAAACGGCAACACAGAAGAAACGTCGATTGGAAAAGGCACACCAGAAGTGTCAGGAGAAGCGCAATGCAGGATACAGATTGTAAAATCCTCCTAAACGACCAAAAATTATGGAAGAAGGTGAGTATCAAAAGAAGCTCGAAAAAGTTCGAAACCGAAAATCTGCTGCTTTAGCGATGGAGACAGAAGAACAAAGTGTCTCTCGTAAAGCAAAAGATAGAGTGCGTCATGCTACTGCTCGTGCGATTGAGACAGAACAAGAAAGGGTCTCTCGTCTTGCTAAACAGAAAGAACGAACTGATGCTGCACTTGCGATTGAGACAGAACAAGAAAGGGTCTCTCGTCTTGCTAAGCAGAAAGAACGAACTGATGCTGCACTTGCGATTGAGACAGAACAAGAAAGGGTCTCTCGTCTTGCTTAGCAGAAAGAACGAACTGATGCTGCACTTGCGATTGAGACAGAACAAGAAAGGGTCTCTCGTCTTGCTAAGCAGAAAGAAAGAACTGATGCTGCACTTTCGATTGAGACCGAAGAAGAAAGGATCTCTCGCCAAGCAAAAGAAGAAAGCGTCATGCTATTGCTCGTCAAGACAAAGAAAGGCATGAAGCAAAAAAGTGAATGCGAGAAGATAAAATCGATAGCAAGATTTGAATGCAAACAAACAGACAAAGACTAAAAAGTAAAAAATAATTATCATTAAATTTATTTTTAAAACCCACGTTTTCTGATTGAACTAAAAAGTAGAAAATAAATGCTATACATCACAATAATGCAAG